AGGCCTGGGGCTGATGAGTTCCCAGCCCCACTTGAATTGCTGATTGTTCTGTAGTTTTTAATTTGTCTTTGTACCCTGTTTTGTCTCGTTCGTTTTTGTATTACCCCCTTCCCCATGTGTTTGTTCGCCGCCCTGAGTCCCCCCCGGGAATAGGGCGGCATACAAGTATAATAAATACAATACAATACAATACAATACAATACAAAGGTTCCCCTCGCACATATGTTCTAGTTGTTCCCGACTCTAGGGGGCAGTGCTCATCTTCAAAGCTGAAGAGCCAGCACTGTCCAAAGACGTCTCCGTGGTCATGTGGCAAGCATGACTAAACACCGAAGGGGCACAGAACACTGTTACCTTCCCACCAAAGGTGGTTCCTATTTTTCTACTTGCTTTTTTTACGTGCTTTCGAACTGCTAGGTTGGCAGAAGCTGGGACAAGTAACGGGAGCTCACTCCGTTATGCGGCGCTAGGGATTCGAACCTGATTTAGTGCAATATAAAAAATGCAAATATTTTTTTTGCAGACCAGAAAAATTTTCTCACGGACCGCCAGTGGATGGTGGCCACGGACCACTGGGGTTCGTTCCATTATCTAACATAGACCAACCTATAACCCAGAAGCCTTGACTCTTAACTTTTCCAAGTTCAAAAGCATGATGAATGCAAACTTTGGCCTGTCAGTTAAAAAGGCCCATCTTCCTCCCCGACCTCCTCACTGTCCGACTCTGCTGCCTGCTCCGCCAGCGGGCCACCACACCTTCCGGAAATTTCTCCTTAGTTCTAGGTTGCGTCTCGATTCGTTTCCACCCATCGCTCCTCCTCCTCCTGCCTCCCGTGCGCAGAATAAACGTTGGGAAAGAATAAACAGAATGCTTAAGGACGGGTAGAGGGTGTCAGGCAACAATCTACGAGGTCCTCTTGGCTGTTTAATGTATTTATGATATACGTGGAAAGATGCTGAGGGTGACAGAAGACAGATTTGAATGTGGGTGTAGCGGACACCACGCGGTTGATGAGAGCGGAAAGATTTTCAGCCCATGTTGCAGATCCTACAATGCTAAGAGGAGCAAGGACCTGAATATGAATGGCAAAGGAAGCTTGGAAGATTCTCAAAAAGAGAGGGGGAGGGAAGACAATTTTGACTTGGTGTAGTATGGAGGTCATTAAAACACGGCTGCTGGCCAGATAGTAAACAGGGAGATGCTTACAGGAGTGGGATGGATATAAATTAATTTTAGCGAGTCTGTCTTTTCTCTTAATCCTCTTCTCCAATTTCTTTTGATTACCGTCCTTTACCACGAGTTGCATAATATGTGTTACCTCAAAAGGATCGTGTGATGGCTAGGTGTTCTGACCCCCCTCCTTCTCCGTCCAGGAATGAAAGCCAAAAGCCACGTAACTAAAAAGGTTTCTTTTAATCAGTCCAAGCTCTTGTTAGCATCT